ATATATGAGAAAGAGAGGATAAAGGAAATATGTTTATATATATGTATATATATATATGCATGTATGTGTATATATATGTATGCATGTATGTATATAAACATGTGTATATTTATGGTGTGTGTGTGTATATTTTTTTTAAGAGGTTATTGCCTTGTGCATGCACTTGCCAGAGAGACAGACAGACAGACAGTGAGAAGGAATGTGAGAAATCATCCCTCAGGGGGGATGACCATGCTGCAATCCCTTCTCCTCCATTCCCCTTCCTGGAACTTGGGCATGCACGTGTGCAGTGTGAGTTTCAAGCCACTGGGTCTGGGACTTGAACTGTAGTTGGCCATGTGGGAGTCCAGTGATGTAACTGCTACCGCCATCTGCTGGTTACAGTATTTTTATATATTCATATTCATATGTATATATGAATGAATAATTTGAAAATGCAAACACCTGAAAATTGTATACAACTATACCACTTTGGGTTCCTCCTTCAGGACATTTTAGCTTTACTTTGGCAAGATATTTGATATCTGCTCTGTTGTTTTTTTTTTTTTAAAACTCTTGTAGAAACGTTAAGTAATGTATTAACATTACATTTAGAAAAGGTAGGACCCTCCCTGCATTTATACTTACCATGAGCATGTTCACCCTGGCAGTTTATCATCATAGTTACTTACTGATTCAAAGTCACCTGTTTGAGGAGGCATATGAACTGATGGGTGTTTCCCCTGTAGACAGCACATCCTCTGTGCTGGAGCCTTCTGACCTGATCCTGACTCGAGGAGCCCTGGATGAAGAGGATGAGGAGGCAGACAGTGATACTGATGACATTGACCACAGAGGTAAGAGGTGGCTGAGGTGGCTCATGAAGGAGTTTCTTACTCGGGGGTTTCTTCCTGCTGGGAGAAGACTGTGCATGTGGCCAGTTACAAAGGGGAGAGGAGAGGTAAAGGATACAGCACCAGGAAGGAGTTTCCTGTTGAGAGTTCCTGGCCTTCCTTTTTTTTTTACTGAGCTGAGTACAGTATTTTTATTGGTCTTATGTCTATTCATGTTTAGATCTTGGCTCATTTTAGAAATGCAGAATTTTTTTTTTTTTTTTGGAGAGGTTTTTTTCACTATAGGGTGCGTGTGCTTGCCAGACAGACAGAGACAGAGAGACAGAAAGCGAGAAATCACCCCCCGGAGGGATGGTCATGCCACAATCCCTTCTCCATTCTCCTCTCGGGATCTTGGGCACGCACGTACACGTGCTCGGCGTGAGTTTTAAGCCACCGGGTCCAGGACGTGAACCGCAGTTGACTACGTGGGAGTCCAGCGACATAGCCATTACGCTAACTGCTGGTTCCCGAAATGCAGAATTTTTTCATTGTTAGTGCTTTGTTTTAACGCCAGAGGGTACGTGCCTGTTGGTGTCTCGTGTCAAAAAATACGTAAGGAGGGGCTGGCTGTAGTGCAGTGGTTTTCAGTGCTGTGCAGAGGAAGCTGGATCCCACATAGTTAACTGTGGTTTGAATCTCAGCCCAGTGGGTTGAAAACATATTGGGCATGCGCTCTTGCTCCCAGATCCTGATGAGATGGCGGAGGGAGGAACGAAGGGTTATAGCATGACCAGCTCTCAGTGGGGTTGCTTTCTCCCTCTCCCTCTCTCAGGCATGTACTCTCTGGTAAACAAGAAAACGTAAGGAGGTCTTAGCAGTCACTTAAGCCAATCAGAAAGACTGCAATCAAGGCTGAATGGCAGTGGATGTCTAAATTCACCTGGCATATTTTTATGTACTGTGAGCAGATCTATTTTTTTTTAAATGTTGCTATAGCATAAGCAATAGCCAGAGGGACAGAAAGGAAGGAGGGGAATGAGAAAAAGCAACCACCAGAGAGGATGGCCATGCTGCAGTCCGTTCTCCTCCATTCCCCTCTCAGGATTTTGGGCACTCACACACACATGCCTGATGTGTTTTTCAAGCCACCATATGGGACTCAACCATGCATTCAACCATGTGGTATCAGCTGCCTTAACCACCACACCCCCGACTAGTCCTCAGATCTATTTTTCAAAACAACTACAGGGTTTAGGTCTTAGCCATGACCAAGAGCAACCTCTCTCTATTCTTTAGCTTGGTGCCAGCGTGTAAACTGCCTCATTTAATCAGATTTATTGAGAGGTAATTTACAAACAGTAAAACTTGCTCTTTTCTAAATACATAGTTTGATGAGTTTTTAATAAATATACACAGTCTTATAACCATCATCACAATCACAATATAGGACATGTCTATCAATCCCCCCCCACCCCGAGTTCTCGGATGTCCTTTTTATTCAGTGCCCTTCCCAAACACCTAGTTCCTAGCAACCACTGACTGATCTCTCATTTTCCTGTAATTACACCTTTTCCAGAATGTCATATAGATGGAATCACAGTAGTTAGCCTTTCGCATTTGACTTTTTTCACTCAGCCTAATGCTTTTGTGATCTACCCATGTTTTTACATGTATTAATAGTAATGTTCTTTGTGTTGTTTAATAACATTTCATTACATGGATGTACAATTTGTTTACCCATTCCTAGCTGATTGACATTTGGGCTGCTTTTAGCTTGTTAGGAGTAAGTTGCTTTAACATTTGCAAATATGTCGTTGTGGACATGTGTTTGCATTTCTCTTGATTAAAAATATCCAGGAGGCCCAGCTGTGGTGGCACAGGTGGTAGGGCACTGCTGTGTGATGCAGGAGCCACATGAGAGGCCTGGGTGTGGATCCTGGGCCGACTCAGAGCACTCTTGTGATCCTGGCTGGCTGGGAGACTGAGGTGGAAGGATCACAGTATGGTGATCTCCTGTCAGGGGTACCTGTCTCTCTCTGTCCTCCTTCACATGAAATAAGTAAACTTAAAAACAATACGTAGAGGGGTTGACAGGTGACATGGTGGTTAAGGCACTGGGCTCCCACATGGTCCGAGTCCCAGATCTGGCAGCTTGCTTTCTCTCTCTCTCTGTCTGTCTCTGTCTCTTTCTTGTCAGATTGAAGAATAATAAATAATTCTTAAAAAAAAAAAAATACCTACAAGTATGACCACATTTTAACCACTTTATGAGGGTTATTCTCCCTGCTTATAAAGAAACTGTTTGGGACCAGCGGGTGGCGTGGTGGTTAAGGTGCTGGACACTCCCACATGGCCGACCAGGGTTCGAGTCCTGAATCTGGTGGCTTGCTTTCTCACTTCCTCTCATTCTCACCCTTTCTCTCTCTGGTCAAATTAAAAAAATAAATGAATGAATAAATAAAAATAAATATTTTTTAAAAAAAGAAACTATGTTTTGAGCAACATGATTAAGTATAATTCTGGGAGACATTTCCTTATTGGGAGAAGTAATTACTTAGAAATACAGAAATACTGTTTCTGATGGATGGGTGACAGGAGCTTATCTACAGAAGGAGAGTTGCAAAATAATTTCTCTTTTTTTTTTCCCCTTGCAGTTACAGAGGAAAGCCATGAAGAACCAGCTTTCCAGAATTTTATGCAAGAATCAATGGCACAATACTGGAAGAGGAATAATAAATAGGAGAATTTTGGAAACTTCGCTTGTTTCTGCAAGTCCAGAATCTCGGAACTCCATGTGAAGGAACTATTCTTACCTCTGATTGGGGTCTACTATAAAGGACCGTTTTCTTCACAGTAGCAGTTTCTCTTATTAGGGAAGTCTTGTGACTCAGATGAAGTCAGGAATAATAGATCCTTGGACCTGGCAGGTTGATGCCAATTCTTCTTTGACCTTTCCCTTGTTTTGCATGAGGAAGGAGATACTGCCTGTTCTTGGAAGCTGATACCCCTTCAAGTTCAAACTTCACGTTTTATCATTTGAACTCAAGTACTTTTGCTGCTGATGGATGGATGGGCTAGAGAGCGAACTTAACTCTCCTGTGACTACTTCACATCTTTGTTGCCAGACTGCATCTATAGCCTCTACTTTCCCAGAATTTTGCCCCTGACTGCAGCATGAGTTATCTTTCTTTTAGCAGAAAGAGAAAGGAAACATGAGCTTGTCCAGAGTGGCAACGGGGTCTCCTTAGCAACCAGTCAACATTGGTATGAAATGTGCCTCGCACTGGGTGTAACTCTTTGTAGGACATCGGGCTTGTTAAAGAAAGTGGGCAAAACATGTAATTAATGAGTAAGAACTCTTTAAATGGTGGCTTGAATAAAGAGTTTTTAATTTTAACTTTCTTATAACCGTGCCTGTCATTTCAAATTAGGAAATTATGCAATTGAAAATAGATCCATTTGTGTTCCCAGAGAGGCTCAAAGCCACATGTCTCAACTTGCCTCGACAAGGAGGTGATGTTTACTAAAGCTTTCCTAGTAATGAGGCCAGGGCCTATTTGTAGTACACACTCTGAACTTAATGCAAAGAATCTTGGTAATTTACTCAAAGGTTATGGATTTGGGTCAGGTGCATATAGTTTCTTTAATGCAGACGAAATAATAGAATTCCTTTATTTGAAAAATGATACTGAACCTCAGAAATCAGTGAAATCTGCTGGAATGGGATTATTTTTAAACTGTGTTGTTCCCTCTCTTCAGACAGCTGTAGCTGTCCACGGATGGAAAAACATTTGGTCAGAAAGCAGCAAATTAGTGTTTTTGAGGACCGTATTCAGCTCCTGCAGCTCCTGCTTCTCTATTTGTCTAGATTTTATTTCTTCTTTGCATTGACATTTTTGCAGACCCAGTTCATGCCATCCTGGACGCCCTCTCCTATGAGAGCTGAGCAAGACTGGATCTGCCAGACTCGGTTGCGGGTGGTGTGCAGGTTCAGTCCTGCAATTTCAGAGGCTGGGGCCGCCGTGAGCAAATCCTGTTTATTAGCAAAGATCAGCACTGGCACACAGCCTTTCTTCCTCCAGCAGTTCAGCTAGTTCCTGATCCGTCTCTTCAAATCTTTTTGTCTACACTGTCAATTATGTATATGAGAATGTCACTGTTTTCAAAATAATTCCTCCAGTATGGTCTGATTTTCCTCTGTCCACCGATGTCCCATATGTTCAGTTTAAAACCTTGTGACTACACTTTTGTGTAGGTGTGATGTGGCCGATGTCTTCAGATGCAAATTGCTTCAGGAGAGTACTCTTATCCACATTATCCAAGCCCCGGAGAAGGATTCTCACCTCTTGGTCCAGGGCACTTCCCAATTTGTGCAGAATTGAGAGTAAGCCCATCCTCCCAGCAAGTCCCTCCTCCTCCTCCCAGGTGCTCATACTACACAGAACAGCCATTACAAGGGTTTGCCGTGCCTCACAATTCTTAAAAGTATCTTTTTTTTCCTTTTCGTAAGGGAACTTTTTGGCTATAGTGCCTGTGTACTTGATGGAGAGACGAGACAGACAGAAAGTGAGAAATCATCCTCCCATAGGGGGATGATCATGCCACAATCCCTTTTCCATCCTCCCCTTGGGATCTTGGGCACGCATGCACACATACAAGTTTCTAGTCTCCAGGTCCAAGACTCGAACCATGGTCGACTACATGGGAATCCAGTGATATAGCCATTACACATCGTCTGGTCCTTCTTTAAAATATCTTAATACATTTCTCTGAAAGGATTTTTTCCTTGTCTAGTCTATATTCCAACTTACTGGGTTCTCAAGAGTGTAGTCTTAAGACCAGAGACATCAGCATCACCTGGGAAATTGTTAAATGCACTGAATTGGGACCAGCAAGTAGTGTGGTGGTTGGGGTGCTATACACTCCTACATGGCCGACCATGGTTTGAGTCCTGGACCTGGTGGTTTGCTTTCTCATTTCCTTTCTCTCTTTGTGCGTGTGGGTCTCTCTCTGGTCAAATTAAAATAATTGAATGAATTAATAAAATTAAGTAATTCTAAAAAAACCACTTTTTTTAAAAAACCTACTGAATCAAAAAACTCGGGTGTGAGTCAGTAGGTGGCATAGTGTTTAAGGCATTGGACGTACATGGCTGGCTGGTATCCTGGAATCCTGACCTTATAGCTTGCTTTATATCTTGTTCTTGTGAGTGCATGTGCCCTCTAGTAAATTAAATAATAAAGGATCCCATGACCATGCCCAGGCCTGCGCTGAGGCCCTTACATCTGCACATTAGCCAGTGCCTTCCCAAAAGAGTTGAGAGATGGTGTGGTGAGTGAAGCCCAACAGCTGAAATGTACCTCAGCTTGTAACACGGCTTTTTTTTTTTTTTGGAGAGGTTTTTGCTATAGGGCGCGTGTACTCACCAGACAGAGACATAGAGACAGAAAGTGAGAAATCACCCCCCAGGGGGGATGGTCACACCACAATCCCTTCTCCATTCTCCTCTCGGGATCTTGGGCACACACGCACACACGCCCGGCCTGAGTTTTAAGCCACCGGGTCCAGGACTTGAACCACGGTCGGCTACGTGGGAGTCCAGCGACATAGCCATTACACTAACTGCTGGTCCTGTAACACGGCTTTGATTAAAGATGACTTCCTTGTTCGTTCAAGAAATTCACCTTTCTAAAAGACAAGAAGAAATTATCAAAAAGATTAATGTTACTTCTACAAAAGGAGAATACATTTGGAGACCAAACACAGAAAGGCCAGCTGAGACCGCTTTTAAAAGGAACCGTCATCTTTTAAAGGATATAGAAGCAGCAACAAAGTTTCTGCAGACCAAGATTCACCACTTCTATGCCCAGAGGTGGTTTCTCTTGAGACTCGTTACTGGGCATCAGTAGAAGAATATATTCCCAAATGGGAACAGTTTCTTTTAGGAAAAGAACCATACCCTACTGATGTTGAAAATCAAAGTGAAGCAGAAAATATTATTCAAAATGAGGCCCAATGATAACTTCTTCAAATGCTATTGCAAAAAACTTTAATAGAGCTGAATATTAAAGAGTATGTAGATGATAATAATAAACCCCAAAAGACTTGGAAGTGGAGGCCTAAGCAATTTTTTTTTAAATTTTGCCAGAGGGCTTGCGTGCTTGCCAGAGAGACAGAAAGTGAGAAAGCACCCCTTATGGGGGATGGCCATGGTGCAGTCCCCTCTCCACCTCTTCCTCTTTCTGAAACTGCAGGCATGCGTGTACATATGCTCGGCATGTTTTCCAAGCCTCTGGGTCCAGGACTTGAACTGACAGCCATGTGGGATCTAACTGCCTTAACTACCACCACTGGCTGAGCACAAGCAATGTGCTTGAACCAAGATGAATCAAGTTAATATCAGCATATATTTATTTGTGAGTCACTTATTCAAGTACAAGCTTTGACATTTGGACCATCTGAATCCCCACATCTCTGCAAAGTGAGCCAAAGCAGTACAATTCTCAGTCGTCCAAGAAATGGCTGTAGGAAAGTAGCACGTCTAATCACACACGACAATGATTACCGTGCTAACACCGCGTTCCATCTGTGAACAGTGGCTTGGTTGCTGTGGAAAACTATAAAGACTGGATTGAAAAGTAAAATGCAACTTGGTTAAGCCCAAGTCCTCTGAAATTAGGAAACTGTGTTTAAAAATGACTCATGTCACTGTTTATGGAAACAAATTCTCATACATCAAGATTTTCTCCTGGGTTTGGACAGAAAATCTCCCTCCTTTCCTTTTATATCTTCCTCATCCTCTTCCTGCAGCGCTGGTTGAAAACAGGGGAGGACCCCATGAGGCTATCGGTGGAGTGGGAACCATAGCTGCTGTCTGAGTCATCAGGGCTCTGAGGGATCCCAGCTTCGCTCATGCCTGACATGGGCTCCTCGAAGACATCGCTGCCCAGCACACCGTGCCCAGAGACGTTGCCTTCTTCACTTTCTTGAGGCTCCATTTTCACATGGGCCAGATTCCAAAGAGGAGAAGCATTTACTTCTGCACCTAGAATTAGAAGGGGAAACAGACACCTAGTGGTATACCAAGTGTAGAGCAAAGTAGAATGAACATAACACTCAGGCCTACTAATATCCTTTCTCCACTTTCTGCTTTGATTCTGTATTTTTTTTAAAGAACGATCCTACCTATTATTATTACTTTTTAAAGAATTATTATTATTTTAGTATTTCCAGAGAGAGAGAGAGAGAGAGAGAGAGAGAAAGAGAAAGTGAGAAAGCAAGCTTCCAGGTCCTGGACTCGAACCATGGTTGGCCATGTGGGAGACCAGCGTCCCCAACAACTACGCCACCTGCTGGCCTCTCTGATTCTGTATTTGAAAAATAAGGCTGTTACTCTCTGCTTCAAAAGTTTCCATCATCAAAAAATTGCCAACTCTGGGGACCAACAGATGGTGTAATGGTTATGTCACTGGACTCCCATGTAGTCAACTGTGGTTTAAGTCCTGGACCCCAGTGGCTTAAACTCATGCCAGGCATGTGTGTGTGCATGCCTAAAATCCCAAGAGGAAAATGGAGGAGGGAGGTTTGTGGTATGGCCGTACTCCTGGAGTGGTGATTTCTTGCTTTCTGTCTCTCTGTCTCTCTCTCTCCAGTGAGCACACGCACCCTATAGCAAAAATTTCTCTAAAAAACAACAAAATTTTTTTGCCAACTCTGAATATTTTCCTCTCCACTTCTTCCATCTTTCTTGCTCCATTTTCACTAAACCAGGGAAGTAAAACTACACAGTGGAAAGATTCCCTATCTCATAGCCCAGAGGCAGGTGCAGTCACTGTCTTTATTAAGTTGTTTAGTTTGCCTGTCTTTCCTTCTCTTATGAGGCTGTCTTTTGTTTGGGTCCCTGGTCCTCTCTCATATTATGAAAAGTTAACAATCACTATATAATGCTGACAGCAGTTCCCTAACTGGCCTCCACTGAAGACAGATGGTCCCTAAGACTGCAACACTCCTCTTTGGCTTCTCTGTCTTCCTATGTATTTGAGCAACATTATTCTGCTGTGGTTATTACTTCTGTCATGATAAAAGGTACTCTGCCCAATACTTTAAAAAGTATGACCTAATTCTAGTTGAGCCACATTTGAGAATGTGCTGTTTGTTTATTGATGAAAGCAACAATTTATATTTGTCAATAGTTGTATAATTTGCAATTAAATGGACTCAAGTAATGAGACAGTTGTCCTGGTTGCTAAAGTAATTAGAATCTGTCTGGGAGAAGACACCAGTAGCCTCTATCTGGGTAGTCCTAATTCAATCCCTTTTATCTCCAATTTGTTGGGATACTTTAGTAAAAAATAAACAAACAGAAAAAAAGCCCAACTATTCAAATAATTATCACTCCTCCACCTACCTAGTAGCTGTCTTATTCAATGAAGGATCAGATAGGATGAGATAGGACTAATGAGCACAGAATACTAAAGGAAAAAGGGGACTTCTGCCCAATCAGTTGGATTAGCTGAATCAACTCTGGTAATCAACAGAAAACATAAATTGTATCTAAATCCTAACTAGGATTTCTTTTTTTTTTTTTTTAAGAATCATTTTTCTAAATTTGACTAGAGAGGGACTGAGTGAGAGATGGGGGGGAAAGTGAGAAAGCAAACCGCCAGATTTGGGACTCGAACTGCAGTCAGCCATGTGGGAGTCCAGCACTCTTAACCACCCTGCTACCTGCCGACCCCTCTATGATTTATTTTAAAGAATGCTTGTAAAGCTGTGTTGGTCCTCTCCACTAATTAGAGAAGAATGCTAGTATCACTGAAGCTATATTTGTTTCAGGATTTTCCATTCTGCCCACTCCCAGTTTTGTTCTACCACCTCCAGAATTTGATTCCAAAAAGCAAAAAGTGCTGAGATTGGCAGATGTCCCAGAATCAAAGGGAACCAACTGATTTCTCTTACTGGAAGCCTGTGGTGAAGCTTCGACCTCCAGGTTGGAAGGGAAGCGCTCGCTCTGAGCCCCGAGGACACCCATGGGCAGTGACTGGTCTCCAGAAGCAAGGTCAGCCTCCAGTTCTTCACTGACGGGGAAAGGGATGTCGCTCACAGGTTCCTCCTTGATCTTCACAGGTTTGGTGTCCTCTGTGGCCTTCTCAGGATTGACGATCCTTTCATATTCTTCTGAGAGTTGCTTACTAATCTGTCGGCAAGCAAGAGCCAATTTTCCAAAGAAACGTTAAAAGCACGTTGGATAGTTAGCTTGTGGCTTTCCATGGAAAAGCCAACAGAATATGAGTAACAGATGAGTTTTAAAACTCAACTGCCAGTGGAAGGAATCTGTTTAAGGTGTAGTTTGTATTTATAAGTTATGGAGAGAAAATCTGTTTGGCAGGGAGTGTGTGTGTGTGTGTGTGTGTTTTAAAGATTTATTTAATTTCATTTACTCATTTATTTTTAATTTGACCAGACAGAGACACAGAGAGAGAGAGAGAGAAAGTGAGAAAGCAAGCCATCAGGTCTAAGACTTGAACTGTGGTCGGCCATGTGGGAGTGTCCAGAGCCCTAACCACCACGCCACCATTGGCTCCCCAGAATGCATGTTATTAATTAAAAGTTATATGTGGTGGGGACCAGCAGTTGGCGTAATGGCTATGTCGCTAGGCTCCCATGTAGTTGACTGTGTGTATGTGTGTGTGCCCAAGATCCCAAGAGGAGAATGGATGAGAAGGGGTTACAACATGGCCATCCCCCCTAGGGGGTGATTTCTCGCTTTCTGTCTCTCTCTTTCTGGTGAGCACACACACCCTATAGCGAAAACATCTCCAGAAAAAAAACTAAAAAGTTATATGGGGTGGGGCCAGCAGGTGTTGTAGTGGTTAAGGTGCTGGACTTCCACATGGCCAATCACAGTTTGAGTCCTGGACCTGGCGGGTTACTTTCTCTCTTTCTCTCTCTGATAAGCACACATGCCCTATAGTAAGTTAAAAATAATACTAATAAGTAAATAAAAATTAAAATAAATCTATTTTTTTATTTAGAGTTTTGTTGTTGTTGTTGTTGTTATAGGGCATGTACACTTGCCAGAATAATGAAGAGAAACAGAGAGATAGAAAGCAAGAAATTACCCCCTGGGGGATGGCCATGCTGCAATCCCATCACCATACTTCTCTTGGGATTCTGGGCATGTACATATATGCACCTGGCATGAAGTTCAAGCCACAGAGTCCAGCAACACAGCCATTAAGCCATCTTCTGGTCCCAAATTAAAATATATTATTCTCTGAAAAAAAAAAAAAAAGTTAAATGGGACCAACCTTATAGTAAGGGGGATAAGCCCTGTGCATTAAGTGCTAGATCCCACATGGCTGGTTGCAGTTCAAGTCCCAACCCCGAGGGCTTGAAAGACACACCAGGCACGTGTGTGTGCATGCACAAAGGCTAAGGGGATGAAGAAATGGAAGAAGGAGGATTATAGCATGACCATGCCTCATGGGTGGGATGCTTTCTCTTTCTCTCTTGAACAAACATGCCCTCTGATAATTAAAAAAAAAAAAAAAGTTACATAAAGGTAAAAAGTTAGAGTATGTGAAAAATCATAACTGGGAGGGACCAGCAGTTAGCATAATGGCTGTCGCTGGACTCCCATGTAGTCAACCGCGGTTTGAGTCCTGGACCTGGTGGCTTAGACTCATGCTGGGCTCATGTGCATGTGTGCCTAAGATCCCGAGAAGAGAATGGATGAGAAGTTACTGCGGCGTGGCCATTGCCCCTGGGGGGGTAATTTCTCACTTTCTGTCTCTCTGTCTCTCTCTGTCTTTCTGGTGAGCACATGCACCCTGTAGTGAAAACCTCTCCAAAAAAATAAAAAAAAATCAGAACTGGGACAAAATATGACATTTTTGGGTATAAAAATCAATAGTTGACATATGTACCCTAAGTGGAAAATGAATGATGTGAGAAGTCGATCACTTAGCAAAGACTTTTCAGTTAGGTGTTAAAAATTCCTGATCATGGACCAGCAGTTGGCGTAATGGCTATGTCACTGGACTCCCATGTAGTTGACCATGGTTCGAATCCGGATCCAGTGGCTTAAACTCATGCCGGGTGCATGTGCGTGCGTGCCCAAGATCTCGAGAGGAGAATGGAGGAGAGGGGATTGCAGCGTGGCCATCCTCCCTGGGGGGTGAATTCTCGCTTTCTGTCTCTCTCTGTCTTTCTGGCAAGTGCATGCACCCTATAGCAAAAACTTCTCCAAAAAAAAAAAAAGAAATTCCTGATCACATTTTAGATTTGGGGAAATAGAAACAGTGAACAAATGACTTGCTTAAGGTCACAAGATTGAAGAGTTTTCTGCTTACCTCGTATCCTACAGACAGTATCTCCTCACTCTGTTTTATCTTTCACAGGATTTCACGCTATCTGAAATTGTTTTGTTCATTATTGTTTTTGTTTCCCCTTAACAGGAACACAAGCTCAAGGAACTTGTGTTGTTAGTCTTTGTCTTCCACAATGCCTGACTCACATAGGCACTTAACAAATACTGGTTGAATAAAAGCATGCTAACCATATTCGCTCAGATTCCATGGAGCAGTGTATAATTTCTTGCAGAACATCAATGAATGGGGCCATGCACCGACTGAAGGAGGCCCTGATGCCTGGCCAGATCGGTGATGGGGCCAATGGCTCACAGCTAGGGCCACGAGAAAACCACGTCAGGTTGACTCTTCCAAGGCCTGTGCTCTGCGCTCTAGATCAAGTGTGGGATCCTGCTGAATACCCCGAAGCTGACATCTCTGCCCACTTCTCCACACAGATTCCTTACCTGTAGCATGTAACTGTGATAGTCCTTGATGCGGTGCTGCCAGAACTTCTGGAGGGAGAGCACACTGCCAATGCCCACTTCATGGAATACCTGCTCCATTACATCGGGGAAGGGCGTCTGTCCCAGCCGTGCCTCCCGATCCACAGCAAAGCGTAGCAACTTGGTGAACTTCAGGCAGTACTCATGAGCCACGTCAGTTAGGGTCTCCAGGACACTTTCATTAGCACACTCAAAGCCTGCATGGGCCAGGATTGTGGCCACTGCCTGGTAGAGAAGCTGCCGACAGGAGTGCCAGCTGAGTTCAGTCACAGGTTCCCCTTTCCCACTGGAAGTAGAGACGTGGTGGTGTTAGTGTTCTTGCAAAGGAGTGATCTGTCCTGTCTCCTGAGTTTTACAATTCCAGTAACCATGGCTCAGATTTCTAGAGAAATTCTATTGATGTTACATAGCTCAGTTTCATCCTATAGCTATCAGGGCATGTCTTAGAACCCATGGTTTTATCTCTGAGTTCCTCCAATTAAAAGTTTGAATACGTGGGATCAGCAGTTGGCGTAATGGCTATGTCGCTGGACTTCCATGTAGTCAACTGCAGTCCGAGTCCCAGACCCGGTGGCTTAAACTCAAGCCGGGATTGCAGCATGGCCATTCCCCTTGAGGGGAGATTTCTGTCTCTCTGTCTTTCTGTCTCTCTGTCTTTCTGGCGAGCGCACATGCCCTATAACAAAAGCCTCCCCCCCCCCAAAAAAAAATGTTTGAATAAGTAATAGTCTGTAATAAGTAGTACAAAAAGATGTCCAGTAAAAAGTATCCTGCTCCTCCCAACTGGTCAATTTTAATAGTTTTATGATTAACCTAGACACTGCGTAACCTAGACACTGTTCAATGATGTCTAATTATTTCACCATAACATAGTTTGTTAGGGTTTCCACACACACTGGACAATATATGGAGTTTTAGAAACTTGCAGTTCCAATTAGGGGCTTCCTTGGATCCTGGGCACTTACATATGTGCTCAGTATGTTTTAGGCTTTTGAGTGCATAATTTTTTTTTTTTTTTGAGAGGTTTTCGCTATAGGGTGCGTGTGCTCGCCAGACAGACAGAGACAGACAGAGAGACAGAAAGCGAGAAATCACCCCCCAGGGCAGGATGGCCATGCCACAATCCCTTCTCCTCCATTCTTTTCTCGGGATCTTGGGCACACACGCACACGCACCTGGCGTGAGTTTAAGCCACCAGGTCCGGGACTTGAACCATGGTCGACTACATGAGAGTCCAGTGACATAGCCATTATGCTAACTGCTGACCCCCAAGGGAATACTTTTAAAACAGGAAAAAGGAGCCAGTCAGTGGCAGGGTGATTAAGGTGGCTAGATCCCACATAGTCAATTGTGTGGTTTAAATCCCAGATCTGGCAGCTCCAAAAAACATGCCAGGCACTGGTGCATATGTGCCCAAAATCCAGACAGGATGGAGAAACAGAGAAGAGATTAATGGTGTAACCACGTTCCACTGGGGAATGTTTTCTGCTCCCTCTCTCTCTGGTAAGCACATGTGCTCTCTGGCAAAATTAAAAAAAAAAAAAAAAAAAAGAGTATTTTTATTTTAATATTATTTTTTAAAAGAATTATTTTATTTAACTTTATGTATGTATGTATGTATGTATGTTCACTTGACCAGAGAGCGAGAGAAAGGCAGCAAGAGCGAGCAGGAAAGTGAGAAAGCAAGCTGCCAGGTCCAGGACTTGAACCATGGTTGGCCATGTGGGAGTGTAGTGTCCTTAACCACCACACCATCTGCTAGCCCCTGTCTTATTATTTTAAAAACTATGTTATCGAAATGAAAGTTAATACTTTAGAAATTCCTATATAGGCTTGTGGGTTGCTAATAACAGACTATATCCACAGATCCCAATCTGAAGACACTGAGCCATAATATATACTTTAAGTTAGATGGAAACACTAGACTCCAAGGATTATGAAGCCATGACCTTTTTTCACATACCAGTGTACTACCTTGCTCCTACTGAAATGCTTGGCACATAATAGGCACATAGTAAATATTTGTTACATCAGAAAAAAAATAATCCAGACTCTGGACTCTGAAGATTATAGAGTTCAAGACTTAAGACTTTCTACAAACTTGAATGAATTCAACTGTGGCCCAAGTCAATTACTCTTGTCTTTAGTTTCCTCATTTGGAAATGGAAATGCCATTATAGGCTTCACAGTGTTGTTGGGAAGACTGCTTGAGAAAAGTAAGAGATAGCAAAGCCTTGCCTTACCGATAAAAGTCACTCTCCGGGTCACTGTGCCGGATCTGGAATGGTGCACTGGGATTCTTACAGTCTAAAGGCAGGAGGTCATCAGGGAGTGGAGGTGACCCAGGGCAGGAGGGCAGAGGTTCACTTTCCTCAGTCTTTACTCCCTCTGTCTGCTGCTGATTCTGGGCCTGAGCGGTGGCAATAAGGCTGCGAAGACGTCGGTTGTGCTGGATCAACTGAATGGTGTGGATGGTGAGGCTGCAGGGCTCTGATGGGATGTCCAGCATAGTGGGGGGCTTGGGCTTGTTGGCTGAGGGCTGGTGCAGTGGCGGGTCATGAACTTCCACCAGACGGAACTCCCTTGGGAGCAAATCAAAGGAACTTCTGTTGGTCTGGCTTGATGATATTGGTATCTCTCCCCAATATCTCAGCATTTTGGAATAAGGAAAGAGCTCTTAGGTTAAATGGAGATGATATTCTAAAAGGAATGGGTTTAAATCTGTGCCAACTGTAGGTTATAGACTTCGGTAGCGAAAAATATTAAGTCTAGTCAGCTATTTAGATATAAAGCAGGCTGTTGAAGACCACTTGGAAAAATGTCCGTGTCAGCAAAACTGTAGGACTGAAGACGTTCCCCTGCAGAAGTGAAGAAAAGTATAACTGTTAGGTGCCAGTCCAACATTTAATGATTCCACACCACAATGTAGAATCTGGATCATTATAATAACAGCTACAACAGTACCCGGGGCTCTAGTTGTCTACAATTTCCACCTTACCTTACTAACTTACTACCAGAATTACTATCATGCCAATCCTAAACAATTTGTAAAGCTTAGTAGCTAAATAGGTGACCTACAGTATTTTTCAGAGTATTTTGATATATTTGTGCTAGATTAGGAAGAGAAAAGAGAGTATAGATAAGGAGAGTTAAGAGGTAGTTCTTGGGGCAAGCAGGTGGTATGGTGGTTAAGGGCGCTGGACTTCCACGTGGTCAACTGCAGTTTGAGTCCCAGGCCAGGCGGCTTGCTTAAATCTGTGCCAACTGTAGGTTATAGACTTCGGTAGCGAAAAATATTAAGTCTAGTCAGCTATTTAGATATAAAGCAGGCTGTTGAAGACCACTTGGAAAAATGTCCGTGTCAGCAAAACTGTAGGACTGAAGACGTTCCCCTGCAGAAGTGAAGAAAAGTATAACTGTTAGGTGCCAGTCCAACATTTAATGATTCCACACCACAATGTAGAATCTGGATCATTATAATAACAGCTACAACAGTACCCGGGGCTCTAGTTGTCTACAATTTCCACCTTACCTTACTAACTTACTACCAGAATTACTATCATGCCAATCCTAAACAATTTGTAAAGCTTAGTAGCTAAATAGGTGACCTACAGTATTTTTCAGAGTATTTTGATATATTTGTGCTAGATTAGGAAGAGAAAAGAGAGTATAGATAAGGAGAGTTAAGAGGTAGTTCTTGGGGCAAGCAGGTGGTATGGTGGTTAAGGGCGCTGGACTTCCACGTGGTCAACTGCAGTTTGAGTCCCAGGCCAGGCGGCTTGCTTTCTCACTTTCCCTTTCTCTCTCTCTCATCAAATTAAAAAATAATAATAACAAATAAAGTTAAATAAATAATTCTTTAAGAAAAAATAGAGGTGGTTCTCATTTTATATATGTTAGACATAGGAAACTTTTAACTGGTCCTGGTGGAAAACTTTATATGCCACTAATATAAATAGTTATAAGCTCTCAACTACTGATATATGTAGAGAAGAATCAGATTTTTGCTGCATTCTAACTGATATCCATTCCTTTGTATCTCATCTCTTCTCCACACTGCTCAGCTTCCCATTGCCTATCAGAAAAAGTCTGTCTGAATTCTTAGGCTTACCATTCAACAAAATTCACAATCTGGCTTCCACCAACCTTTCCAGATTCATTGCCCACATGTCTTTTCAAGTTCAACAAACATTTACCAAATCCCAGGCATGCACGTAGGCAAAGATCACTAATGCAAGTCCGCTGTCCTGAGATGAGGGAGGGAAATAGAAACAGAGTATTTCAGCATGACAGTATGTAGTTAAGTACTGTTGGAGGCATGGACCTGGTACAGTAAAAGCACAGAGGAGCTTCCTGGACAAAATGACCACCTCATTCTAACAATACATACTACTCAGTTTCTCGAGAATGCCACATGTCCACGTTCATCCTTTAATCTATGATCCCTGCCAGAAATGCCCTGCCATTCCCACTTGCACTGTTCTTATCCCTTCCTTCCAGTCTCACAGCACTTCGCATGTGGCAGAGGCCACAGCGTTTATCCCTGGATTTTAACTAGTACGTATCTTAATCACTCTTATTCTCCCATCTACCCCTTCTGGGTGGATCTTGTTAGTGCCTGGCACACAGTAATATCCGGCATTTACTGAGTGGTTACTATATGCCAAACTTCACCTTTATCGTTTAATTCAATTCTCCCAACAATGTTATAAAGTAGATACTCTTTTTTTTTTTTTTTGAGAGGTTTTTGCTGTAGAGCACTGTTGCTCGCCAGAGAGAGACAGAGAAACAAAAAGCGAGAAATCACCACCATCACCCCCACCCCCACCCCCAGGGGGAACGGCGATGCTGCAATCCCTTCTCCTCCATTCTCCTCTCAGGATTTTGGGCATGCAGCAACATGCCCTCGGCATGAGTTTAAGCCACCGGGTCTGGGTCTCAAATCGCCGTCAACTACATGGGAGTCCAGCGACACAGCCATTACACCAACGGTGGTCCCATGAAATAGATACTCTTATTAACCCATTTTTCAAATGGAGAAGCTGAGGCCCAGTGTCTTGACCAATGTCACAAAATAGCAAAGTGAAAATCAAGACAAGTTCCAGACTCTACACTCTTTTTTTTGTTTTGGAGAGGTTTTTGCTATAGGGCGTGTGCGTTCACCAGACAGAGAGAGGCAGAGAGATAGAAAGCAAAATCACCCCCCCCCCCAGGGGGGCATGGTCACGCCGCAATCCCTTCTCTTCCATTCTCCTCTGGGGATCTTGGGCACGCACGCACACGCGCCTGGCGTGAGTTTTAAGCCACGGGGTCCAGGACTTGAACCGAGGTCGATTACATGGGAGTCCAGCGACATAGCCATTACGCTAACTGCTGGTCCCCCGAGACTCTACACTCTTAACCACTAAAATCTGTTGCCTCGTTAGGCAAGAATAAATGAATGAACGAAGGAAGGGGGGTGGGGGAATCTCCCTTTTCCCTAACGTCACCAAGAGCACGAAGGAATCCAGAGAATATCCAAGTCCCCGGGGGCTCCTCGGTCACGGTCAGCAGTCGCGGGCGCCAACCGCAAGGTCCAACGCAGGAAGACAGGGCGGTCCAGCCTTGAACGGAGGCAAGGAGGCCCCACCATTCACTGCCGTGTCGCAGGACCTCGCTGGGCTGACGGCCACCAGGCCGGGAAAGCTGAATTGTTGACTACTGGGCCAAGGCTGCCGGAAGCGCTTCTTCGCTATCGACCTATGCCACAGGAAGTCATTACAATCCTGTTGCAACCTCTAAAGATGTCCCCATTCTGCACGCATCTCGACAGTTTCTTTTTTCTCTTGTTTGGACCTTCCCATGTTTCGCACCGCTTCCCAACGCTCAGGGTCACGGAGGACAAACTCCGCCATCGCTGCCCAGAGTCGCCGCTGGGAGCTGGGAGGGGCGAGACGTAGAGAGGAACGTGGAGCTCGAAGGGTGCGGTTTCCCAGGGACTGATTTCAAGTCGCACCCGGCCGAGGATGGCCGAAATTCCCTCCCAGGTGGAGCCACTGGCGTCGCAAGAAGTCGGTGG